CCCTTAAACACACCCTGCCGGCAGCATCGTCCAACCTATTACTAATTTTCTGAGCTTAGTGAACGGACAAGGAACACAACAAACACTACAAGAGGCAGTCTATTGAAACACTTCAAAACTAGATTTCTTCATGGTTAAGGGGTTATTACACGTTCAGTTAAAACTGACACTTGTCCGTCCTCTTTGTGATAAGAAAAAACTGCATGATATGCAATCATAGTAAAAAATACTTATTTTTCGTGGTCTTCAAAATTTAGCAAGAAAAAACTACCCGCGAATCATTTTTTAAATCTTGATATGCTGATTCCAAATTTGATTTTTGTTTTAAACAATAGAACACATTTTTCAATAAATTTATAAGATCTTTTTTTAAAATCGTCGGTGGGCCGCTGGCATAGCAAAGCGGCAGGCCGACCAGATGCTGACGAACAACTGTTGGTTTTAACTGAACGTGTCATACTCCCTTAAAGTACATGAAGTAATTTGCAGTATGGAAATTCTCAACAGGCGACACGCTAAATAAACGTCGAAAAGTTTCCGAGTTGGAGAATATTGGCGAAAACGTGAACACTATATTATTATATTGAACGGTTAGGCATTGCAACCTGTTAGTATTAGATGAATCGGTACAGGAAATAAGAAAGGGTGACTGGGAGAACCGGGTGATGGGCGGGCTATTGAAGGGAATCAAGGCAGGTGGATGAAAGACGAGTAGACAACGTTCGGTTATCCTAAATAAATGTCCTTCGGTCACAAAATGTATTCAAAATACAGTCGACACTGTCTAAGATTGCCACCTATTGTCGAGGAGAAAAGTGGCCGTCTTAGACAGGTGGTTATAGTTTTAGTTTTAGTAGAGGTTTTACGGCGCTCGCAACTGCAAAAGGTCATATGAACGCCAAGGGGTGGATGTCAACAGAGAAGTATTTACAGGGAGTCAGGCTTACTCTGTTCACCTCTCTAGCTTCAACAGCACAAAGTCTATTTCCACTTTCACGGCACCCCGGAAATAGCAGGTCACAAGAGTGTGACAAACATACAAAAGAAGTAGAGGAAAATGACGATAGCAAGGATTAGGAAAGAAAAAGCAGCAGTTCCCTGTTGCAGTTCAGGCACAGTTATGGGTGTGACATTGTTGGATCAGCCTATTTACAATTCTACTGTGCATTAGAACAAGAAATGTCCCCCCTTTGGGAATGGCTTAAAGACAATTCAGTCAGTGACACCGCCCCAGGGGGATTAGACAGGTGGACATTAACACAGTGTCATTATAATGTAAAAATTTAAAAAACCCACAAGGGGGTAAATGGGAAGTGGCCGTTTGTATAGGCGATTGTGTTACACAGGTGGCTGAATTGGGGAACGGCTGTTCGTGTACGC